TAGGCCCTCAAGAATGTATTTTGATTAAATGACTTACTTTTCATTCAGCAATCTGACAATATTTGCATTTCTTTAAAGGCAGTCAGGGTACCTTTAAAGAAGAAGAACTGAAGTTTTGATGCTGATGGCGTACTGGCCACATAATTTGGTCCAAGTTGTTTTTAACCTGTCTGAGCCTCGCTTTTCTCATCTGTGAAATGGGTTAGGTAATATCTACCTCATGTGTTTGTGGCAGAAATCAGCTGTGGTAGTGAATGAGAAAATACTAAATAGATTACATATTGCAGGATCAGTAGATTTGCTGGCTTCTGGAAGTAGGTAAAGCTGTAGCCCCAGTGATTCTCCAGATCTTCAATACCCTCAGTTTTCTTATCTATAAGATGGAGATAATTATTATACTCACGTCATATATTACTTATGTGTTAAATGTGTTAACATAACTAAAATAATTAGAATACTGCCTACCACCTGCTAAATACCTAGTAAACATTAGCTATTGTTGTCTTTGTGATCATTAGTTAATATCTTGATTTTTAAAAATAACAAACACTTTTCTGGGGAAAGTACACATTCAAACAAAATTTTGTAAATAGTTGCAAAGGGTTCACAATTCCCCTGAAACTCATACCCTGTGCCAACTGCGCATGCTGTATGTTGCCCTGTGCCATTAGCTGCCTTTAGGGCCAAATTCTAAAGAGGCAGCTTAGTCATCGGACTTTATAAAATTTTGTCAGAAATATTGTTGTGTGTGTGAACTTATCTGACTGAGATTCCCTCATGTTCATTAGATACTCGAAAGGATTACGTTCCCCAAAAAGGGTTTTAGTTGTGATTTTTGTTTGTTTATTTAGGATTGAGAGGAGCTTGATAAATACCAAAGGCTGTTGCTTTTCTTCTTTTGAAGTGCATTCTTTACTTTTAGTGTGGGCCGAAATCTGCAGCCAGAATGTATTTTGCAAAGCCAAACACACACAGACATTTGAAAAACCTGCATTTGGACTGGCCAGCCACCTGCACAACTGCCAACAGCTGCCACAGACCCGCCTTGGGAGTAGCTGTCTGGGGTCCAGGGACATGTGCAGTGGATCTGGTTCCATAACTGCCTCACGAGATGATCTTTACTTTTGTGAAACAGTAAATAGCAACCCTTATAATCCTTACCCGAGAATTTGGAAAATTTTGCTCCTGAAAGCATTTAAGAATCTTCTGAAAGAGTCTTGGGTTCTTAAATAGACCTAGCACTGACTTTTTTTTAAAAAACATTCCCTTTGCCAGAGGCGGTGGGGGGGGGACTATTAAAAGTTTCTATTGGTATTATCATGGAACAGCAATTAGGGGTTGTCATAATAAATGAACACGTGGGGCACACATTGACAATTTGACACGCTTTATAAATGCTAAATAATCATAATGATGTCACAAGGCTTTCATTTTCAAACTGTCTTAATTTCATTCTCAGTTTGAGATTGCAGATTACAGTAGTTAATTATATAAATTGGCCCAGAGTGAAACTTTAAATCAGATTTCCATTAAAGTGTGTGACTGCAGCAAATCACTTTATAGGAGGCGCGAATGATATCTTCTCTGGTGGTGTGGGGTCTTCCCACCACCCCGGTGGTGATCTCCTCTAAGTGCTTGGTGGTACACCACATGTCCTAAACCATCCCTTTTCCCTGAGCTAGGCAGCCTGTGTACTTCTGTGTCTTGCTCTTGTGAAAATCCTAACTGCTTGGTCAGTATCACTTACTCGTTTTCTCCTTTCCTCTCTCTCCTTCACATTCTCTCATGCTTTCTCTCTCTCTGCTTCTCTTTCTTGCTTTCTCTCTGTCTCTTACGCTCTCACAAACTTGCTTTCTATTTCTCATCTCGTGTTTGCTCATTCGCTCACTCTCCTGTCTGTCTCTGTCTCCCATTCCCATCACTGCCCCTCTGCCCGTGAGGGAAACTTCCAAGACTTGACTTCACCCAGCTCTGGGAAAGGAAGGGATAAGCCAAAGAGCCAAGTGGCCATCCCTGTCCTCTGGCGCCTGCCACTCTTTACCTCATTTGCGTTTTCTCACGTTACTTCCCCATTCAGCCTGTGGTCCCTGAATGAACCAAGTTGGGTGACAGCCTTGTCTTCATTCTGGCTGTCCTCTTTTTACCTGAGTTCCTGGTCTTTCTTCCTCTTTGTCACCTAGAACATCACTGCCTCCAAAAGGCCTCTCCCACCCTAGCAGCCTGCACTGCTGGTGGTGCCTGATCTTAGTCCTGTGAGACAAAGGAGCCAGGATTGTAATTGCCAGTTTACTGGTCTGATTCTCAAACTAGTCTTTGAACTCCTTGAGGACAGTGATGACATCTTATACATCTCCATATCCCAAGTACTTAACCCTGTGCTTGGTACAAGGGAGATGGCCATTAAGTATCTATTGAAATTAATTTAATTCATTCACTCTTGAAACCATTATTTATTAGGTGATTATGCTATGTCATGGATTGTGCTAGCTGCTGATGGAAAAACTACGTAATCTTCTTGTAGAGGAGCACAAAGGTGACCCACCCGGGGTGTTGCATCTTGGGGATGGAGATGCAGTGTGACAGGTGAATATACTACACAGGAGAACAACAGTCCCTTTCTCAGCACGTCTGACAAAGCCGAGTATTCCTCCACCATTGGATAAGAGGGCCTTTCCTTGGGTTCAGTAACAGTTGAAGTGGTTGGCTTACTTTCAGGTACAAGTTGTTGTATGAAGAGTCTCTGTTTTTATTTGTCAGATGCTCATTAAACACAATGAGATACTGACATGAAAGACTCATGGAAACTGATACCAAAAGAGACAACTCCAGATTCACAGCTCATATTTGACACTCACTCCAGGGCACACATCTCCTGAGCAGCGCTGGTTCACAGGGCCATGGGCATCTTCCCTCTTTTGCCTCCCTCCTGCCTGTATGGATGAATTCTGGTACATTTGATGTGTGTGATGTGACTACTCTGTAGACCAGTCACACTGTTTCAGGTGGATTAAACAGAGTAACTCACCCTAATTTGATGACACAGAAAAGCTTCACCATTGACATCTGAATGTATCCTTAAAGAATGTACAGATTGGACCATGGCAGAGGTGTACAGGGGCCAGTGTACGCTTTACTGAAAAGCTTAGTTCTTCTAGAAAAACTAAGTGAGCCTCAGCTGTTCCCAAGCTTCTGTCTTGGACCCTGTGGAATCATTACCGCTCTTGAGCGATTTTTTTTCTTCCATTGTTCTGGCAAGCTTCTTTCCATCCCACAGCTATTTGGAAACTGCTGCTGTACCCGGCCTCGGTGCTAACAGCATTTAATAGCTGTCATTAGAAAGCAAGCTTCTGCTTACCAGTAGGCCTGCTGTGAATGGTAATGGGAGATTTCTTTTCTGGGAGTAGCCCCAATCTCTAATTGGTTTGAAAAATATTGCTCATTTATTTTATTCTTAAGACATTACCTTTTTATTGAACTTCAGTAAGTCTGTGTTTCTGTTATATTCAAATTTAACATAAAACCGCAATCGATTGAAAAGTTTTCTTACTTATACTTGCTGTCTAGGTAACTTGCCCACTTCCGTCCTTGCTTGTTGAAGTAAATGCATGCATAAATACAGGCATGTGATAAGCATTTCACATGTGTTATCTTATTTAGGCCTTTCAACAACCTTATAGACTAGATACTCTTATTCCCATTTTATAGGTGGAGAAACCGTGTTCATGACAGGATATGTCCCTTGCCCAAGGTTCCAGCTCTGGCAGCTGGCAGTAAGCAGTCTAGAGGCTGACGTTGAGCTTCACCACTGCTCCCTGTTAGCTTTGTAGCACTAGTACACATAATGTGAGTTCTCTGAATGGTTTTATCCACTACAGAGGCTAACCATCACTGCACTTACTGTACTGTATTGCAAGGGTCAAAATAAAAAATGAGGGTTCATGTACTGGCACTTTTTAAAGCAGTTAAGTACTAAACAAATGTAAGGTCTTCTTTCCTCATGTTTTTGTGTAGTTAATTTAGCATATTGAAATAATGGGATTTAAAAATGGCATGCAGCACACACATATACGCTTTGCAATTAGTGTAGCATAATTTAATTGTGACTCCATTGTTGGAATTTTGATGCCTCTAGCTTGATGAATAGCCATTATCTGTGGGTGTTATCAATTAATCTAGATAATGAATTCTCTTCATTATCTCGTTTTTCATGTTAATTATACAGGATTTTCTTATACCTATTTATCAAATCAGGACAAGTACAGTGTTTTTTTTTTTTTGGCCCACATGCCTTTGAATCTGGAATATGTATAAACTGGTTAACAGAATGGGTTTAAATTTACATTTCTGAAAATTTCCAGTCTGTGGCTTGACTTTTCTTACATCCTTACTTGTGGTATAAGCTTGTATTTCTTTAATTTGGGGGTCTTTTTTCATCAAAAAGATTATCAACGATAATTAAACTACCTCTGACTTTTGAGAATATATCTCTAGTATATCAAAGAGGTATTAAGGAGGTGTAGAAAAATTTGAATTTTTACTTATTAATATAAAACAACAAATAATTAATGTTACCAGTTTTTAAATAGTCCATGAGGCACCATGGCAAGTAAAAATTCAAGTATAAACCATGGAGAGAAACATAAGTACATGAAATTTTAGATGACACTACTCCAAAAAGAAGAGTTCCAGACAACTCTGTAAGACAAAGCAGAAAACAGTATGTAATAAATGTGTAGTAATTGATTTCATTTTGAGTTCAGAGAAGTGATTGATAGGATAATCTGGGTTAATACAGCAGAGTAGTAGAGTTATATATTGATATTTATTATTTCAGTGCAAAATTTTAACTTTCTTAGCATTTTCTGGGCCTTTTGTTTTATAGTTTATGTTTTGTGTTTTAAAAAAGGGGGAGTCTTATTTTGTCTCTGTTCTTTAGCCAGTTATTTGAAGGAATCTTGACTGCAGCATTTTTATGGGCACCTTCCTCTTTTGGATTTTAGGTTGAAGCCATCCTGGTCAATATTTTTGGTGGAATCGTCAACTGTGCCATCATTGCCAATGGAATCACAAAAGCCTGCCGGGAGCTGGAACTCAAGGTGCCCCTGGTGGTCCGGCTGGAAGGTAAGTTACAGTAGATTTCCACAGTGCCAGCGGCCCCTCCTTCAAGTTCAGGTGACTAGCCTGCTCTGCTCTCACAAACTTCCCGAGACAACATAAGGAAACTCTGGATTACATAGGATGAGATAAATGTAGTGCAGCAGTACCTCTCTGAGCTTCTGCTGTGGATTGCAGCTCTCTAAGAATGGTATATGTTGTGAGTCTCCAAACAATTTTCCAAACACACTCCGGAGTGGAGACCTCTTATCATGACTCATCTCATGAGATTCGTATTCTGGGAAGAACACTCTGAGAAATGCTGCTCCAAGAAGTACTCATAATGAGAGAGCAGTGGTTCTCAACCGTTTTGGTCTGAGGACTCCGTTACTTATTAAAATTGAAAACACCAGAGAGCTCTTGTTTATTTTGGGATATATATTCAGTATTTATTAATTTATTTAATTTATTTAATAAATTAATTTGGAAATAGGAATAACTACTTGGAACTTTTTGAATACTCGTTTTTATAATAAAACTTTAATTTTTATATTACATATTTTATATGTAAATATATATACTATATATGTTATGAAGTATAACTCTGTCTTTTCTAGATTGTGGTAAGAATAGCAACATTGTTTTATGGTTTTGCAGATCCCTTCCATATCTAGCTTAATATTTGCTTCTGCATCAGATCTGTTGCAATATGTTGTTTTGGTTGAAGTATGTGAAGAAAATCTGGCCTCATAGAGCTATGTATCTGGAATAAGGAGCAGTTTTTAATAATCATTTCATATAATTTTGAATATTATTCTTTGATACTACACTAAAACCTAAAAAGTAATAGTTTCTTTATCAAAGATTAGTTTTAATATAGAATCTCAATTTGTACTCCATTGTATTAAAATCCATTGTTCTGCTTTACACATTAAATGGATTTTTCACATGCATGATTTATAATATCATGCATTGATCATATGGAAAATTTTGGATTGTGCAGATCTTCCGAAGGTTAGCATATTTCAATATACAATATCAAAAAATTGACATCTTCTAATATCACAACATTATCAGAAAAGCTTATCACTGTTGGGAAGCTGTCAAGGTGGTAGATGAAAGTTTTCTGGAATGCTAATCTTTGCTTGAAAGTACAAATTTTCTCATCATCCACAAAACAGTCAGTTGTTTTCCTTGAAGTGATAGACTTCACTCATTTTTGAGAAAATGTCTGCCGAATAACTAAATCTGAACAACCATAGTATGTTCTTTATTCTTCCAAGAAAAGACAGTGTTCCATGGAAAAGTAAGTGGTTTAGCTTGCTGCTCAGAAATCACATACATGCTTTTCCTCAGAACAGCCATCGTAGTTCAGTGTGCAGCAGAGTGCTTTCAGTATACTTCTCATTTGATCACACAGAGTATTAAAAAGATGTGTACTGAAGGGTTGAAATTTAATAGAATTAAATTTTTTTCTTTACTGTTCATTAAGGACATTCTTACTTGAAAGTGGCAACTTTTCCTTGTGAGTATGAGGTGGTGAAAAATAAAATGAACCAGTATACTTTGGTGCTGCTTAATTCCATGCAGTTTTACCCACCATTACTTTTGCTTCATCAGGACAGATGTCAGCAGAGTATTATTATTATTATTATTATTATTATTATTATTATCATTATTATTATTATTATCATTATCATTATCATTATCATTATCACTACTACTACTACTACTACTACTACTACTACTACTACTTTAAAATAGTTTTTGTATCAGGGACCTCCCCCAGGGTTCTGTAAACCACACTTTGAAAACCATGGTAGTAGAGAAGTGAAAACAAACACTTTATTATGAGAATTACACAAAAATCCTGTCCACATGGTCAACGAGTTCAGATTACAGCAAGCAAGCAGCTCCTTGGGTAGACTTCTGCAGTCTCGTTTTGGGAACAGTTTAATTTCCCCCATTACCACCCTGGTACTGTAATTCCCTAGAGACCTTTTCTCCTCAAAGTTCAGCCATATTTGACCTATTATAGAGCCCCATCTTCCTTTGAAGTCAAGCCTCTGGAACAGCTGGAGCGTGTTTTCCTCTGTTTGTTTCTTTCTTTGTGTCTCTTCCTTCTCTCTGCCAGTCTCCTTCCTCTCTGCCTCCCTGAGACTCCACCTCACACCCTTAGATCTTCACTTTATGGGCTTAATAGAAGTCATGATCACAAAAGAAAAGTGAAATGGCAGGGGCTCCTGCTGGCAAAGCTTAATGTGAACAATCAAACATATGATTGAATTAAAAGTTCTTAAAAATGTGGATACACTGTAATTTATCCCACTAAAAATAATTTCAGTGAAAGGAAAATGGCTAGGCTGCAGTGAAAAGAAAATTGATCAAGGAGTTAGTGGGTTCCTCAGGGTAGGCATGATTCTGATTAAAATGTTGATCTCAAACTGTTTTCAGGGTCACAGTCACCAGTGACCCTCAGATTTTAACTGTCAGCTCTTCTTATGTTCTTAAAGGGGAGCAAGTTTCCATAAGCAAATCATACTACTGTCTGTCACTTGGAAAGAACCAGAAATCAGTGCATGCTGTGGTGGACTCACTCTGTCTAGTGATCCTCCCTATATGTGTGTTGTCCATGGGGACCCATTATTAGTAGCTGGTAGTGCATCCCTAGAAAAGAAATTTACCCCACTTTTAATTTTTCCCAAGAGATTAAATGGAGCACTTCTCTTATTTTTATACTGTACTTAGTATTCCGAAATACTATAGAATAATAACCCATCATTTTACATATCCCTATCATGTGTATCTGGATGATACACATGCTGAGATATGCAAAATACCACATCCAAGATTATCTCCCTTCATAATCAGTATTGGATATATCAAAGGTCTATCTGAGCTACTAGGAAAAAGCTTTGAAATGTCCACATCTGTTGGACAATCAGACTTGCATCTTTTAAGTTAAAGCACTTCCAAAGTATATGCCTGTGTTTTTTTTTAATTTATTAATTAATATGATAAATACCATGTGTAAGTCACTGAGCTTTGGACATTTAAGGAGAATGCATAGAAATATAAGAAATGATCTCAGTTACTAGATAACTGGGGAAATAAGAAAAAAATTAACAATACAAGCTAATATCTATAAAATATTATCCAGTGTTTGTCCTAACAGAACCTGCTTCTGTCTTAGAAGCAGTAGCCATTAGGGTATCCCAGATAACCACCAGCCTGGCTTGTGGAATTGATGATGAGCTCACAGAGGATACTGGGCGCCAAATTTATGTTGGCTAAAAACATCCATGGTGACCTTTTTTTGCTACTCCCCTTCTTTCATGTTAAAAGCTCCTATCCTTTCATAAGCACCTAGGAGAGAAAAAGCAGGAGAGCTTTTGACTTTTCTGGAGTACTCACTGGTATTCTTTCTTCCTTCTGTGGGAGTTGTCATCTGACATGATAAATGTCCTTAGATAGGTACCAGCACTCACAGTCCCATGGTTATAGTGGGGACACTTGCTAATATCCTTATATGTGATTTATGGGAGAAAAAAGCAGCCCCACATCATGATAAGACCCACCTCAAAATTCTGTTGGTCCTGCATAATATACAGGGGATGATGAACAGTTCTGCTCTACCTCTACTCTTATCTCTGATCATAGATTTTTAAAAATACAGAAATTTGTAAATGGGGTTATCCATAAAAATCCTGTAAAGGGAACTAAATACAAACCAAGCCTATGCTCTTTATGCTAAGTGATGCAGACTCTATAAAGTATGCCCCCTTAAACTTTGCCTCTTGTAGTTCAGCCCACTTTTTCATTGGCATACCTTTTTGTTAAGCTTACTAGATATTGACTGCTATAATTACAGTACATTTAGAGATGTGAGTTAGCAGAGAAATATTATAAAAGGAGAATTTCCAAGTTGAACATGGAAATAAGTAAGATTTGAATCTCTGGAAAGGAAGGAGGTAGGAAGAAATTTACTAAAAGATCAGAAGCAAGTCATCAGAGCAAGTCATATTTGGGAGTTAATACTAAGATCATAACAGTGACAAAGACTGAAAGCCAGGACCTGGACAGATCAGAAATCTGTCCTGGAGAAAGTAATGGCTTTGCAGGAACATGTTACAGCTACAAGAACTGAGTGGGGAAATCAAATTAGTAGCCAGAATCTACATTATTAGGTAGATTCCAAAATCAAGGCAGACTTGCCACATAGAGGCAAGAGTGGAGTAGAAGTAAAAGCAGAAATATAAAAAGAGATGAGAGAAAGTGGGTAGCTAGGTTTTTAAATCTGTGACCAGGAGAGCAATAGCATAGTTGGTGGACTTGAGAAAGCCAGAAGTGGAAACTAGGTAGAGAGAATGGGAGAGGATTGCATTGGGGTATAGTTATCCTTAGTTTGAGATGAAGCTGTACTATCGCATGGAATCTGTGTGGAGATAGAGATGGAGGAATACAGGGATGATCCAGAGAGAGGTATGATGGGCAAATGGATAAGTCACCCCGAGTTTGAAGACTCTCAGTAAACCACTCTCAGGACTTGCTGCATTGCAAATTGTTCACCTGCAACACAGCTCAGTTAAAATGAGAAGCCAGCCAAAACCAAAAATCTCCTGTCACGGAAAATCTTGTTGTCAGTACTTCTGAGGAGGGAAAAAAGTTGCTAACTACAGGGCCCTCTGAGGATTTCTCTTAGACTCAATCTAAATCTTTCATTTGCTTTCCTCAGGGTCAGAACATAAATTCTGCTCCTCTCCCAAATCTCTCTGCATTCAGTTATATTTTACCTCACCTTAGAGAACTGATTTGGGTCCTTCTGTTTTGCTAAATAGAGCAAACTCTTCATTTTCTCTGGTGACAGAGAAAGACAAAGTGCTATAAAGAAGCAGGAACATTCTGGACAATTCTAGTGATAGTTTCTGTTTAACTTGATATAGCACTGTAGTCGTTTTAGCTGATCAGCTTCAAAGTTACCTTTATTCCTATTAATATTAAAATTGGTCCACCCTCCCAGGACACAC